AGAGCTCCTGGGCTAGCATCTCACAACACTAATTTTTTTTATTAGTTTAAGAATTTGTGCCGTGCAACTTTCAAACAAGCTTGATTCTCAATAGGCAGGCTTACTGATACTTTAGTTAACTTAAAATGCATTTGTTTCATCCGTTCACTATGTAAACTTTTGATTCTGAATTTTGTTCACTTGCATACTACATGTTACTGAATGTTCGGATTAGACCCAGCCTGAGCAAGTCTAAAAACAGGTTGCTTACCAGTAACTGGTGATCCTCGAGTGGTCATCTGTGCATTCACACCAATGGGATCTAGTGCGCATGCGCTGGATCGATCGGTTGCTGTAGCAAGCTCTTTTAACGGATTTTCGCGCCCAGTCCCTCGGGCATGCGCAGGAACCCCACCGCGCATACCACAGAGGGGTGGGCGCGGACATCCCGCCAGTTCCTACAAACCGCCGCAAATCAACCCCTATTCAAAAATGTAGAAGCTGACAGCAGCGGGGAAGGAGGGCGGGTGGTGTGAATGCACAGATCACCACTCGAAGATCACCAGTTACTGGTAAGCAACCTGTTTATCTTCAACGTGGTCTCTGTGCTTCACACCCATGGGAGATTAGCGAGCAGTAGCCTACCTGGAGGAGGGTGCTGGCAGGACTATTACTGCGTAGCCAAAGATAAAATGTGATGTCCCATGTTGGTATTAGAGTTTTTTCGGACATCTAGGGCGTAGTGCCTGATGAAGGTGTTAGGCGTGGGGGAGGTAGGAAGACTGGGGGAGCAGCTTCTTGACCTCGGACATCTGGGAGACAAGGCAGTAGTTTGTCTGTGAGACATGTCCCTGTAATGTCAGCTGTCGATATCGACGGATTCAGTATGTAGACGTGGAGAGTGAAGCTGCATATCACATGCAGTGTATCGGTGCCGACGTGGATCGATGTCGGGAGCCTCGGATACCGTCGATGCTGACAAAGTCGAAGGAGTGGGGGAAAGCTCTGCACCCATTTGGTGACTTAGGAGCTCCGCCGTGTCGATGTCGGAGTAAGGACGCTCCATTTGGTGGACAGGGGAGTCCAATACTTGGATGGTCAGTATCGGTGGAGGGACTTGGGCCTCCGATATCGATACTGCCAGTGGAGCGGGAGGCACTATAGGGGCATCACCCAGTGCAGGCACCGCTTCCTTCCCCTTCTTCGCCGCCTTAAGGGACTTGGAGGTGCCCTTCTTCACGGACTTATGCTCTGTACTTGCCTTAGCCTTCTTCTTGATTAGTGTAGAGGCGGACAATCGTGTCTTCGATGTCGAGGGCTGTGGTATTGGGTGGTCGACATCTGAGGCAGGTCTCGATGCCGGAGCTGTCGATGTAGACGGTCTCTCCTCCATCGCTGAGGCAGGAGCAAGGGCCGATTCAAGCAGCACCACTTTAAGGTGCGCAGCGCGGTTCTTCCTCGTCTGGTTGGAGAAGCGAGCACAGTGACGACTCTGGCTTGTGAGACTCTCCAAAGCAAAAAATGCAGAGGGTATGACGGTCGGGAGGAGCAGGTTTGCTACCACAACGTCTGCATCTATTGAAAAATCCCCACTTCTTCTACATAAGAGGAGAAGTGGAGAAAAAGGGTTGAGGGGGGTGGGGTGGCCTGAAGGCCTGAGGTAAATTCACCTCAGAAGAAAATAAAGTTGTTTTTTTAAAGGTTTTTTGAAGAACAAATCACTAAAAAGGATAAAATAATGAACGGAAATAATTCCTAAGAGCTGAGAGCTGTGAAGCAAAGGCGAACAGCGAACCGATCAGACCGACTACAAAAGAAGTCTTTCCAACGCGGCGGTAAGAAAGGAACTGGCAGGATGTCCGCGCCCACCTCTCTGGGCATGCGCGGTGGGGTTCCTGCGCATGCCCGAGGGACTGTGTGCGAGAATCCGTTAAAAGAGCTTGCTACAGCACCGATCGATCCAGCACGTGCGCACTAGATCCCATTGGTGTGAAGCACAGAGACCACGTCGAAGATCAAGCCATTATGCTTTGTAGACTATTTTATTGAGAACAAAACTGAGAAAAACTGATTCTCAAGATGGCTTCTAATTAGCTTCAAATTGATCCACTAACTGTTCTATAGCAGTCATTCTGAAACTCTGCTGTGGTACAGATTTGTGTGAGTTGACGGAACCATGAATGTGCTCTGAGAAAGGCAAGAAAATTATATTGAGGATCTGCCAGGCCCTAGGCCAGGTATGTCCAATAAGTAGATCGCGATCTACCAGTAGATCATGGAGGGGTCAGAGGTAGATCACCAGCCCCACTTGGTCGCCTGGTGTGCTGGACAGGTGTTTGGGTTTTTGATGATTGTTTGGTGGTAAAAAATGTTCGCAGTTCTTTTTGGATCTTTGTCTCTCTGTTTTGTTTTTGCTTATTTTGCTTACCAGTAAGTGACAGAAGGTGCATTATAAATGGGGGGTGGGGCGGTGGAACCCAACTTTAGCGGGTTAAAATCTAATTTGAAACTAATTTGAAACTTTATTTTCATGGTGGTAGATCACCGGCACTTTTGGCCGGAAAAAATAGATCACTACCTGTTCGAAGTTGGACATGCCTAGGCACACTCCCTTTGAAGCTCTCTCTCCGCTGAGGGCAGGTAGCTCTGCTATCTCTCTACGGTCTGGGGAGAGTGACTGAACTACTCAGACCCAGAACAGAACAGCCTTCCCCTTGGGTTGCCAACTCCAGCTTGGGAAATTCCTGGAGATTTGGGGTAGAGCCCAGGGAGGTGAGAGACTGCCGCAGGGTATAATGCCATAGACTCCACCCTCCAAAGGAGCCATTTTTTTTCCTGGGGAACTGATCTCAGTAGTCTGGAGATCAGTTGTAGTTCTGGGAGATCTCCAGGCCTCACCCGGAAGTTGGCTACCCTACTTAGAAGAAGTCTCTGCACAAGTCTCTTTCCAAATGTTTTGGGTGCACGAATGACATACACTCTCAATTTTAGTTCAGGAAAAAACCACAGTGTGGCTCCGCAATCAGAAACACTGATTTCTGACAAAGGGAGTTTTGAGTCTGTAAAGTTTATACCCTGAAAATCCTGTTGGTCTCCAAGGTGTTACTGGACTTGAATCTAGCTGATCTACTACGGACCAACACAACTACCCTCTGAAACTGATCACCTGGTTCAGGTAATGCAGCAGATGCTTCAGTCAGTGCCCCATAAAAATGATGAATAGCCCGCACTGACGTGTATCATGTCTAGGACAGAAAGTACATTCCTGATTAGCTGAGGGCACTAACCTTGTGTGTGGAGAGGCACACTCAAGTTACTGACTTAAGCAACAGCAATTGAAGAAAATGTTGTGCTTCTGGTTCGCCAGGCTGCCCAACTGGAACTCTGGCCCGCAAGGCTGCAGTAGTATGCAAAACATCCTACCCCACAATCTAGCAAAATGGATACGTATGCTACGGAATTCCCAAAATAAGGAATTCACATCAAAGGGGAAACTGTCCTTTTGAAACTCAGTGTCTGAGAGTAACACGTGCTGTTCCCTACATCACAGTACGGCATATACAAATTAGGCCTTTTTCTATATGAGTCACACAGCAGTTATAATTATGCCTGCTATTAGTCAGAATGTTTAATAAACATTTCCCAGGAAAAACCTCTTGTGTCATCGTTACAGAACTGCAGTCCAAGACGGATAAATAGAGGCCTCTTATCAGATATGCTAAATGTGGATCGTTTTCGGAATCTTCTGGGCTGATGGAGACATAATGCTGCCTTCCTACTTAAATATGTTTAAGAGATTGGAGTACAGCTGCCCATTCCGTCCTCGCTGTTCTCATTCGGCACACCCTAACCTCACATGCACCCAAACCTCATACTTGCATGCAACGCTATACTTATTACTCAGATCCCCCTGCCTGCCCACACATCAGGGGTAGACAACCTGTGCATGTAAGAGCAGCCCATAAGAAGGATGGAGTATTAACGGTATCCAAAAGCTCTGTACCACACTTGTTTCCCAGACTTCATGCACTATGAGAAAGCTCCTGTATGGACATGTCCTAACTGACAGCCAACAGCATTCAAGCCAGCTTTCTGTTTACCTAATAGGGCTGAACTACACACAACACTAAATATGCAGCTTTCTTCTGTATTTTTGCAATCATATGCCTAGGGGGCCCTCTGCAAAGGGAAGGCGGGGTGTAAAAGGGGGCTCTGTTTTCCTCTCTGGCAATTTTTTAGGGTTGCCATTCCCCTGGTAGGTCCTGGGGATTCCCTGATTTTGGGGCCCCAATCTGCTGCAGCTCAACTGGCCGGCAGGGGAAACCCCACCGCCAGAGAAGTCCCCTCCTGGTGCCAGTGTGATGACATCACCCAGGAGTGATATCACCACGTTTCCGATGTTGGGGGGTGACACTCTAGGTGTTGAGCAAAATTCTATCATAGAGTTTTGCCTAAAACCTAGAGCATCACCCCAACGTCGGAAATACAATGACCTCACTCCCAGGTGACATCATCGCTGTGCATGCAAAGAATACCAGGAAGGATTGGGAGTCCCCCCCACCAACAGCCAGTTAGGACTTGGCAACCCTACAATTTTTCCATTGGAAGAAAACCATCCCCTCCATTAGAATGGGAAAAGATACAAGCACACATACCCTTTTATCCCACATGGGAGAAGTGGCAGGAAGGCCTCCAGTGGCAAAGACCCTCTTCCCTAATTGTACCTTTCCAGGTTGACTGCAACCTTCTGCAGCTGCATTACTCTTCAAAGAGCACCAGTTCCACTACCATTTCTAAGCATGGTGAATGGAATTTATTCCACAATATGATACGAAATGTTCCAAACAAATATTCCCCCGGTGCCCGATTTCTAACACCTGTCTTGCCTGGTCATAGAAACTTTCATTTGAGGGAAGCAAAGCATCTATAGAATTTAATATGTACGCATTTGATTTGCAGGCTGCAGTGCAGAACTTTAAAACTATAATTACAAGTTAAACGTTAGTTTAAAAGTTACATGCCTAAAGAATCCTTTGCAGCCTTCGCATGTCATAGCGTTGAAATGAAAGCCAGTAGCTTTGTCTCCGCAGACACCGCAGATGCGGGGAACGTTCCTATCAAAGTCACTGGTTGGATCAGGAAAGGATGGGCAAGCAGCCACAGGCTCCATTTCTGAGAAGGAGAAGAAATGCAAATAAGTTATGTAAGTTACCTTCTTCACAACAGCTTTCTGAATAAAGCCCCATTCAGGAGCAGCAGGCAAGGAACACTGTGCAAAGCCAGAGAGGATTTTTTAAAAATAAGCAATAAAGTAAAAACGAATTTTTACTGAGATGTAACAAACTCTTCCAATACAAGGTACAAATATATCCCTAACCCCCACTGCAATTAATTCTGCTTTGTTTTGCCATCTTCACAATCTGTGAAGGGGCCGTGGCTCAGTGGCAGAACATCTGTCTTGTATGCAGAAAGCCCCAGGTTCAAATCCGTGGCATCTCCAGTTAAAAGGATCAGGTAGCAGATTATGAAAGACCTTCAACCTGAGACCTGGACAGCTGCTGACAGACAGAGCAGACAACACTGACTTTACAAAATACTTTCTAATCCAAGGGCAAAGATCATGAACCTCTGTCTTAAAAGGCAAATGGCTGTTATCAGCACTTTGCACTTTCAAGGGAAAAAAACAGGTTCCTCAAAAGCCAATATTTTCTTCCTTTGCAGTGTTAATCAACTCAGGATAGGCTTAAGAGTGGTTTCAATTAGCCCAACTGCACAGAAGTTGAATGATGAAACTCCCTCTCCCCTCCACTCACAGAATCAACCCAATTCAGGGCAATGTACATGTGCAGTTAACCCTTTAACGACAGGTGTGTGACCTGGTCTCAAAGAAGCATCTGATGTAAAACTAAGTGTGTGGCTGGATGTGTGGGTGTGCATGGATCATGAGAAATAAAAGCCTAAACACAAGTAGACCAATATGTGTATAGCTAATGTATTAGATAAAATAAAAATTACTTTAAAATAAGCATCCTAGTTCCTTCAGAACCTCTGAATGGAGCACCAGGGGGAAGGAGCAGATTTTACTTCTCAGTGGGCAGTTTGGTAGAATAGTTATTATAGGTTTTCTTTATTCCTCCATAAGTCAAATAAAATGTCAAAATGTTAAGTTTAAAAAAAATGTAAAATTAGGGGAGGATCCCCTGGAAGAGCCCTGAAGTGGAATCCAATAGCTACACAGCTCTGCAATACACAGGTCATGGATGGCTAGGAAGACTCAGCTGCTAAAATGTATACAGTTGTAAGGCCAAGGCTCAAACTATACAGGTCTGCCTCAATCACATTACAACAGAGCAGGATATGGGTTTCAGAACAGCCTGCTGCTTACCGCCTAATAACCTCTCCCTCCCAAGTACTTCCCCCCAACTAAGATCACTTCAGTTACTGAAGCCTGGCTAAGGAAAGCTCCCAGGGAGCTCAGTGCACGCCTTTTATTTGAAAAACCTGACTGTCCCCTACCCTTGTTTACATATAAATGGGACAGACCCGGCCTTTGAACAGGTCTGCTGCCACTCTGTGTAGTCTTTTTTTTTTTAAAGAATTTAATTAGTTTATATAAAGAAAGGGGGAAAGGGGGGGAAAGGGGAGGAAAGAAAATGGGCAGAAATATACAAAATTCCAATTTAGCATTACAATTTCACAACATCACAATATCAATCACTCTTATTATTCTTCACTTAAACATATTCTCTCAGTATTTGAGTCGTAACCAGTCATAAAACGCCCTCCAAGGTCTCATAAATTCTTCTTCCATTTTTTCTTTTTAATATGTTTGTCAGTTGCTACACCTAAGCTAAGCGTCCTCCACTCTGTGTATTCTAAGGGCCTAACCAGGCATGGCATTCTCCACATGTACACTTACAGATATACCTAAGTGTCATGTCCATCTGGTTAGGCCTGTTGCCCAGCCCCACTTCTATGCTATGAGGTGGGATTGAGGGGAGGGGAAGCTGCCTGAGCACCAATCTCATCCTCCTCCCCTCCCTCTCAGCACATTGAAGGCTGTTACAGCATGGGGTCTGGGCAGCTATGGGAAGGAGGGAGAGAACAATATCACTCAATGGCAAAACAGGCTCATCACCCTTTTGGCTACTAATGGATGGTGTACACACATTCAGAGGTGGTGCTGGGTCTAGGACTAACCAGAGAGACTTAATATGCATCCAGTGTTCCCTCTAAGATGAGTTAGTGTGAGCTAGCTCACAGTTTTTTAGCCTCCGGCTCACACATTTTTGTCTCCGCTCAGGAAGGAGGGCTCCAGAGCAAACTAATTTATGCAGTAGCCAAATTGCTCACTCACAACTTTAATGCCAGTAGCTCACAAAGTAGAATTTTTTGCTCACAAGACTCCACAGCTTAGAGGGAGCATTGCATGCATGTAGTCTACAGGTGGAAAACATTACATCTGGTCAGGCCTCTAGGCTGAGCCTGAGGTAAGGATCATCTTCTGCTTTATAAGATTATGGATGGGAAAGAGCAGGTAGAGAAAGAGGTACTTTTCTCCCTTTCTCACAATACAAGAACTCGTGGGCACTCCATGAAATTGCTGAGCGGTCGGGTTAGAACGGATAAAAGGAAGTACTTCTTCACCCAAAGAGTGATTAACACTTGGAATTCACTGCCACAGGAAGTGGTGGCGGCTACAAGCATGGACGGCTTCAAAAGGGAATTAGATAAGCATATGGAGCAGAGGTCCATCAGTGGCTATTAGCCACAAGGTATAGCTAGGGGCTCTGGGGCAAGTGATGCTCTGTCTTCTTGGGGCTTGGGGGGGGGGGGGTCAACAGTGGGAGGGCTTCTAATGTCCTGGCCCCACTGGTGGACCTCCTGATGGCACTGGTATTTCTCGCCACTGTGTGATACAGAGTGTTGGACTGGATGGGCCTTTGGCCTGATCCAACATTGGCATCTCTTATGTTCTTATGTTCTTCCTGACATATAAAAAACCAGATTAAAAGACATCTTTAGACCAGCTCTGTTATTCCTCCATTCTCCCCTTCTACTTTTAAAAACATCCCAGCCATTAGAGCCAGCTAATAGTCACTCAAAATGGCATTAAAAAAAAAAAAGGAAGTGGACGAATTTACTGCATCAACAGTTCCTTTTCCCACTAACTGGAAATTTAGACTCACTCTTAATCCAGCTCCTCTGAGAGTAAAGACAAACACTGACAGTTTCCCGAAATAGGAAGTGCACTTATTAGTTACTACGTTAACTACTTACCTAATTTTATACTAATCAATGACAGGCTGTTAGCCTTTGAATGTCAGTTTCCATTTAAACCTCAAGCCTGGTTTTCCTGTGATCAGAAAGAATAACACGGGAATGGGCCATAATACTCAGTGCCTTCCCTCATGAGTGGTAATTTAGGAAGGAGCAGAAGCAGTGCCATTCACCTCATTTGTTGTGTCTGTGGCCAAGAACGGACCTTATGTGATGTTACAGCCTTTTGCTTTCACTACGGTTGGTGAAACAGTCACAGTTCGCAACTAAAACAGCATTGTCCAACCTCACTGGGTAAAAGTACTTTGCAACAACGTCATTTAATTTAATTTAAACCTCACGTGCTTATTGAAATGAACTATTTAAAGCTTTGCGATGGCTATATTCTCTTGATCCAATGAATGCTATGAAGCTGAACCTCAGAATTTTGAAAGGCTTTTCTCAACCAGTGGTGAATCTCCTTTTGATAATACCCCTTTGGGGAGCATATGCTGCAACTAACAAATAGTTGTGGTCAGTGTTCCCTCTAAGATGAGTTAGTGTGAGCTAGCTCACCAGTTTTTTAGCCTCCAGCTCACACATTTTTGTCTTAGCTCAGGAAGGATGGCTCCAGAGCAAACTGATTTATACAGTGGCCAAATTACATGCTCACAACTTTAATGCCAGTAGCTCACAAAGTAGAATTTTTGCTCACAAGACTCCACAGCTTAGAGGGAACATGTGGTCACATGTTATATACTCCAGAAGAGCCGTTCAATGTATTGAGTTAAGTTCTCTTCAAAGGTTTGTTTCTTGATGTGCATGAACTTGGCTTGTAGAGATGCCCCTGCCTCTCTGTGCACAACATAACTGAAAACTTCTGGACTGTAGAAGTTTTCAACCTTCGGTTTCTTGTAACAACTGAACACGAGTGCCTGGGCAAACCAGAATTTGTTTCTTCTCCACAAACCAGAATTCTAAACCAGGATGTTTAGAATCTCAGTTTGTGGGGAACAAACAGATCTGAATTTGTCTAGGTACCTGCCTCTCATCCTCCTCTTCACCCCTCAGCACCCTTCTCTCCTATTCCAGCCCAATGAAGCTTGGCTTGATAGCATGGTCAGGAAGAGATGAGCAAACAGAAGGGACCCCTATTCCTGAAGGAGTCATAATCTTAACTGGACATGGGACAATAAAGACAAGTATTGAATACTAAGTATTTAATGATGACCAAAGTGAAATTTTAAGAGACAGGGCCAAAACCAAATCCCTATAACTCATGTTCATAAGCGCCTCATCCCTATATCTTCTGAAACAAGTTTCCCCCAAACTAGCGTAACCATACAGTTGCCAAATTAGCATAACCATATAACTGAAGCCAAGATTTCACATCTCCCAAACATTCTATTTATATAATGCTTTAGGATGTTCAAAGGTCACATATGATTTTGCTGGAATCCTGATAACACTGAAAAGCAAATCTGTGTGACTGTGTCTAGGTTTAAAGGCCACCAGCTGAGTCCAAGGAAAAGGTGAGATTCAGACCAGGGGCACTGCAATACATCGTTTCTTACTAGGTTGTACGAGCTTTCATGCAAGTTGAAAACCTGCATATTCCTATCCTGAAAATGTTGGTCACATATGAAATCACCTCTCTTTCTGATAGCAAAATAGCCTTTGTGGATACAACCATTTTTAAAAACAAAACATGCAAAATAAGCGCTATTCGAAGAAGTCTTAGGGAAAGTTATGACTTCTGTACTTCCTTCAGAGGTTTTTTTTTTTTTTTAAGTAGATGCATTCATAAACAAAGATACAGAATTCTCTGGATGGGGGTGGGAGACACATCACATCAATATTTTATGAGAAAATGAGGTACATTACCAATATCCAGGTCATGTTGTATATCCTGCTGGAATAGTCCCCAGGAGTCTGGAAATTGTGACATGGAGCCACCTGTGATCCAAAAAATATTGAAAAGTGAATGGCTTAACATCCAGCTGTCGCCAAAAGAGTTTAAATACTTTCGGTTTGGGAATTCAATCTAGCTTTCAACTCCAGCCCCATTGACGTAAGCAACATAAAGAGTAAGGTGTGGCACTCAGCAACTAATTCACCACACCCAAAAGAGCCTCACAAAATACAAGGTGTCAACTCAGTGCTGCCTCCTAAGATCTTATAACATCACCAGGTAGATGGCGGAGATAATAATAACCCCACAGTACACTGTCAAGGCAACTTAAAGAGTTCTCAAGATGATCATTTACATTCACTATTCAAATACTGGCCTTGGACAGGAAGAGGGATTTCCCCTATAAAGTGCCACCCTGTCTCTCCAAAAGTTTTAATGAATCAAGACGCAGTTACATAGAATAATCTCATGCCAATTAACTGAAGCATATTTTAGTTTCACAGTTCACCGTGACAAGCATTTCTAATAGTACAGTGCTCTTCTGATGCAGAATGGAAGTAGGATGGTGTTCAATAGGCCTCTCCTATTTTAGCACCACTGTTTTATTTTAATAGTTAATCAAGCTTGTAGGCAATATAATGTAAGAAAAGCCATGGTGGATCAGAGCAGAGATCCACCTAGTCTAGAAGAAATTGTCCTGGGAAACCCACAAGCGGAATATGAAGGCAATAGCTCTCTCCCACCATTGTTCTTCAGCAACTGAACATAAGAACATAAGAGAAGCCAAATGTTGGATCAGGCCAAAGGCCTATCCAGTCCAACACTGTGTCACACAGTGGCCAAAAATACAAGGTGCCATCAGGAGGTCCAGCAGTGGGGCCAGGACCCTAGAAGCGCACTGTTGCCCCCCCCCCCCAGCACCAAGAAGACAGCGCATCACTTGCCCCAGATTTCCTATCTATACCTTGTGGCTAATAGCCACTGATGGACCTCTGCTCCATACTGTTTATCCAATTCCCTCTTGAAGCTGTCCATGCTTGTAGCCGCCACCTCCTGTGGCAGTGAATTCCATGTCTTAATCACTCTTTGGGTGAAGAAGTACTTCCTTTTATCTGTTCTAACCCGACTACTCAGCAATTTCATTGAGTGTCCAGGAGTTCTTGTATTGTGAGAAAGGGAGAAAAGTACTTCTTTCTCTACCTGCTCTATCCCATGCATAACCTTTTAAGCCTCTATCATGTCACCTCTCAGTCATCATTTCTCCAAACTAAAGAGCCCCAAGCGCTTTAACCTTTCTTCATAGGGAAAATGTTCCAACCCTTTTATCATTCTAGTTGCCCTTTTCTGCCCTGAGACAAAAATGTGTGAGCTGGAGGCTAAAAAAACTGTGAGCTAGCTCACACTAACTCAGCTTAGAGGGAACATTGCTGCCAACCTTCAGGTACTACCTGGAGATCTCCTAGAATCACAACTGATTTCCATAATCTCCAGGTGACATAGATCAGTTCTCCTGGAGAAAATAGCTGCTTTTGGAGGGTGGGGCTCTTAAGCATTATACCCCACTGAGGTCCTTCCCCCTCTAGGCTCCACCTCCAAATCTCCAGGAATTTCCCAACTTGGAGTTGGCAACCTTAAATTACTATACTAATGCTATATATTAGTTTAACTCGCTTTACTTTGGGATATCTATTTTCACCGAGTTACCTCTATTCACATAACCACAGCCCCACACTGTATTTAAAGTCTCCTCTGCTTTTCCCATCTCAGTTACTGGGCAGTTTTAACATGCTGGGTAAAATGGTCAGGTATCCCAAAGAACAATGATTTCTCAGAAGCCCTTCTAGATATCTTTAAATTCAGTTCTGGCACTTGTGAAGCTGGGACCTCATTAATTTGCAATCACAGTTGGTTCAAGAAAACACAAATTAAGAGGAGTACTTGAAATACAGTCTGCTATCTTGGGGGTAATATATTATCTATCAAGCAGTTGGGTCAGGTAGCCTGTTACAGGCATTGTAACTTACTCATATTTGAGCAACAATAATACCACTCATATAGACAGATCAAGTAAGGAGTTATCCAGACAATTACTATACTATCTTTGAAAAGTTCAGGGATTAGCACCTTACCTGTGGCAGAACTCCTCCTGCTTAGAAAGCTGCAAATACTACTTGAAATGTACCCAGCGGAATGCACAAGCACCTTCCTCATTCTACTGGCCATACTTAACAACTAAAATTCACTCCCACTACGTAAGTTCCCTTTAAGACAACACCCGAAGCCACTCCGGGGCCGTAGCCATTGGTGGGGTGTTGGGGTGTGTGCCCCCATATAGTATTTGCAACGCATCACCCAAATCTCCACCAATCTTCCCTTTCTTGTTTAAATTTAAATACCTTGGTAAGCTGTGCCACCTCAGGCCACGACTGCGCCAGCCTGAAACACAATTTCCTTCCTTCCATCCATCAGTTGGCTGGGGAGGGGGAGGGAGCCTGGGGCCCATGGTGCTGCCTTCCTCCTCCCCCCCCAGAAGTAACTGACCTTGTGGGGCTTGGCAGGGGTGGAGGAGCTCACCACCCGCTGCCCTGCCTGCCTCGGATGGCATGCGGGAATGGAGGAGGACAGGAGGAGGCAGGCAGGCAGGGCAGAATGAGATCAAGAGAGCCGGAGCAGGCGGAGGGTACGGAGCAGAGGGGGGCGCTGAACAGAAGAGGCATCTGTTCCCCTCCTCACCTCTCTCTTTCTTTTGCCTGCACACCATTAAATTTTAATTTAATTTAATTAGCGCCATCGGTGTCCTGGCACCCCCCTCCCCCGGAAAAATTCCTGGTTAGGGGCCTGAGCCACTCCTTGTAAAACTCTCTCTAGGGTATCTGGCTGGGAGGTTTTGGGTACTTTTTAAAAACTCCTGCAGCTCTCAAAACAACTCAGGATTTGTAAGAACTACTCTACAGCTCCAGGAAGGGTTTCATCAACAGCATTTTAAAAAGCAATCTTTTTTTCCTGTTCTGGCACCTCCAGGGCAGTTCCTCTTCCTTTGGGCTACACGATCACTCAGGACAGACAGATTTCCCTGGTAAAGATTTTGCTCTCTGACACAAACAAAAAAAGATAGCCTTGACCTCGGCCATAAAACATTCCCTTTATCTTTTAAGCAATCTATAAAGGCTCCAGCTGGTTTGACTAAAGGTCTCATTACTTCGTTACTGGAGAGATCTGAAATCTCCTGCTGGTAACTGGGCTAAAGTTAACTATCTTATGAACATGGGAGACCTAGATCATAATCCTTGCTTTAAAGCTGGTGAAAAAACATAGCCCTTGTTGACAGCCACCAGAACACATCCTACATAACACTAGGCTGCCTGTCTCCCACGTAATATCGACAACCTGAAACATTTCAAGGCATGAAGATACACTTTCCCCAGCCAGTAATAGCATTGTAAAGAGACATAAGAGGGAAGGAATCAAACCAGAACAGCCAGGTACATGTAGCTTTAGTGGTTTAAACTTATTTAGTTGTATTTGTGGTGGAACGTGCCCATACCAGCCTGCAGGCCCTGTTCCACTGTGCCCTCCAAGGTTTTCTCAACACCTGGAGAGGCTTTTCTTTCTCTTACTCTCTCACTGCTACAATCTGACCTTTGTAAAGATTTGCTCACTGGGAGGGCCAGGACTCCCAGCTTCCCTTCCCAGATCTGAGGCCTTGCCTCTATGTCTTCTGCTGGCCCAGCGCCTGGTTACCATGGGTACAGTTTACTGCCTTGTGCGCCCCTGGAGGAATAGCCACGTGCCAACTGCCGGCTTTCCTCCTGACGCGCCTTTTAAAATAGCATGTCCATGACAGTGGATATCTACGTAGTACAGAGAACCACTACCAGCATCAAAAGTTATAAAGTATTCATTAAAAAGAAAATGTTCATAGGCATATTTTTAGCACAGCGCCAGACTGAGCAAGGGATTCAAAAGAAATGGGTAAAATGCAATTCCTTTGCCCGTCTCTCTATACGTGCCCTATCAAATGTTAAAAATATAGGACAGGTTCCTTAGCTTAGGATATTATAGATCTCTATAAAATTCCCATTACCTTGCAGCTCCCTCTAGCTCTTCAGGCCCACACATAGTAATGGCTGCCTTCTCCAGACCTCAGTTAAGAGTTCTGTCTGCTCTGACACCCCTGAGTTTTATTACCTCTCTTTTCCCCACCCACTGACGAGATCAGGCTGGGTAGATCAAAGAAGCTTTCCCTGAAGTCTCCAGAAATTTCTTTCCTGAAGTCTCTCTAGTATTTAATTATTCCAAATCTCTGTTCTCTGCTTGGGGGCGGGGTGTTGACCATTCCATTGTCTAGACCTATTAGCATTTGTATGAAGGTGGGCTGAGGTAAGTCTGAAAAGCAATTGAACTGACTTCCCCCCTTCCTGTCCTCTACCCAGAGAGAAAAAAAAGACTTTTAAAACTCAGAGTGAAGGTTTTGCTCATTTCAAACTTTCAAAGAAAAAGTGGATTTCTTCACTGTACTGTACTGTACTGTACTGTATTTCTTCTGTACACAACTGAACTTTGAATTAGAAGATTCACACTTCAAGCCAGAGTTTGACAATCTCCAGGTGGGGCCTGGAGATCTCTCAGAATTACACCTGATGTTCAGAATAAAGAGATCAGCTCCCCTGGATAAAGTGGCTGCTTAGGAGTATTGGCACTATGGCATTATAACCCACTGAGGTGCCCCATTCCAACTCCTCCCAGGATCAACCCATAAATCTCCAGGAATTTACCAATGAGGAACTGGCAACACTACCTCAAACATTTTATTGAATTTAGAATAGTAATTCACATTTTCCCCTATGCCCATATACCTGCCAAACATTTGGTAAAGTGGGTTCTAGTTCCCAAAGCTTATGCCACAATAAATCTATTAGTCCTTAAGGTCCTCAGGACCCCCCCCCCCCTTTTGTTTTGCATCGCTGCAATGAATCTGCATAGCTATCACACTGGAATCACTAACCTGGGACATTCATTTATTGGCCTCATTTATACCCCACTC